AACACTCCCACAATGACCGGCAGAACTGAGAATGTGCTGCACTTGCAGAACACCAGACAGCTTCTCGAGATCAATATAGAGACCCTTAGATCAGGTTGATGCATCGCCTAACAGACACAAAACATCAAACTTAGCAATTGTAGATTCCCAAGCATAGGAATAAATTTGCTTGGCTAATTTACTGTCTTTCTTCTGGTAAGTCAGTGAGAGAAACACTAAGCAGAAAACGTGATGCAGTTATTAAAAAGGACACTCTTTTCATTTCTTTTACACATTTAGAAAACCAGTACAGGAACTGGTTTTAATTTCCTTTTACTAGAAGAGTCCACTATTCATTGCTGGTTTAGACACAACTGTGTTTTTTCTATGTAATAGGAAATTTCAGATATGAGTGTCTTTGTTCCATACACTTTTATTTTCATTATTGCAGAATTCTCTGTATTTAAAATGCTGTTCACATTTAATAGCCACTAATACTTTATATACTTTTGAATAAGTATGTTGTTTGCATAGAAAATGTAAAATATACATATATATATACACACACACACACACATATACATCTATGTATATATATGTGGAAGACATACAGTTCCTCATGTTCTACCTGGCTGGAAAACTGTTCATTAAAATAATTAATTCACAGGAAAAGAGTATCAGTCATTCTTTACAGTAAATTCATCTATATAAATAAAGTTGGCAGAGGTTTCACTTCCACTCTATCACAACTTCACAAAAACAATGGCTCTGTAAAAACTGTAAATTATTTTTGCAATGTTTGAATAAAGTACAAAATATTCAAATGCCCCATTAACCCAGAGAATGGCACCACTTATGGATAAGATCACTTTAAAAAGATTTGTGCTATTTTGTTACTTCAAAACAGAAGATCTCTACCGTATGTTAATGGTTTGCAAGAAAATGCTACTATTGAATCTCCTGTATTTCCCAGAACACAGACTTTTTCAGACTTATTTGAAAGATTTTCAGAGTTAAATGAAAGATCTCATTCAGTGACAGAGACTGTGTGGAAACCAGTGGCAAAACTTCAGTTGGCTTTGGGATTTCAGGCTCAGACCCTACTTGTTTCAGCTTTATAACATTTTTGTCACTAAAAGCATATGCTATTGTATTTTTCAGTAAGTAGTAAAAATCTGAGAGCATATAAAGTATTCTTTGCTTTCAATTATGTCACAAGATTTCTTTGTAAAATGTTCAAGTAACAGCACTCTCTAAAAAACCGTTGCCTGTTAAACCAAAAAAAAACCAGCAAAATAAATGAAAAGATGAAGGTTTACAGCCATAGTGAGGCCATTTAGTAAGATGGATTAACCCAATTTTATTTTTGAGCCCTTTGAACAATGAGCAATCTTGTAAGATATAATTGCCACCGGATGACATAACTACAAAAAGGGATAACATACTTTGGACTGTCTGACAGGTTTGGAAGATTATCTTTTCTAATGCAAACCTCCGGTCAAATCTCAGCAACAGTAAATCTAATAAACTTTACTAAGACCTTTAACCCTTTCCTGTGCCTTTGCTTGACTTGAAAACATATATTTTTGTCAAGTTTCCACATATTCCTTCAAAACATATTTTCAATTTTACAATCCCTGGGTAACTTCCAGGGATTTCTATGTTATTACTTAATACCACACACACTAACCAACACCCCCACCTCAAATTGTTAGAAAATAACATACAACTTCACGGGAACATAAGTAGCACGGACATTGCAGCAAGCAGGGTAGATAACCGACAGATCTGAGCATCTCTATTGATTGCAACTTCTCCACATTCTCTCAGTCATTCACATATAGGGCTAAGAATTTTATTACTAAGCTGAACTTAACAGCAAAATCTGCCTCATTGAGAGTTAATTAACATTAAATACGTCCATTTACAGTTAAAATTGAACATAATATCAGACGCTATTCACAAAAGATTATCTGTAAAGCTGCTTGCATGTACAATATTCACAAGGACACAGACAGGGCAGATTTCTGTCTGTGTAGTAACGTATAGGTAACACCACAGGAAGAGAAACGTGCTTTAATAACCCTTACCTTGCCCTCTGCAGCTCCAGCTGGCTTGTCCACCTCCTCCTCCTGAGCCTCCTGCTTTCCACAAGAACAACTAAGCAAAAGATGCATAAAAGGAGCTTTGCAGAATAAGGCATCCTGCCGGGAAGAGGAGCTGGGCACTCTGCACTCCAGTAACCTCCACCACAAGTCCCCCCGGGTTTAAACATTGAATCAACTCCAATTCCGGCGGCGCGGGTTCATCGGCGATCGGTGGCAGAAGCGCTGCTTTCCCGACGGGATGCTTTCGATAGGCTTTCAAGGGCTCCTCGCTCAACGCTTTCCCCTCATCACCGCTTAATGATTGGCCATTACTCATGAAGTTTGCCTCACCAAACATTTCCACTGGGTCCTAAAGGATATTTACTAAAGCCATTATATAAAAACCCGCAGTTCTGCACGCCAGCTTTTTGCTCAATCCCCTAATCTCAGGACAGTGCTATCCTTCTGCCAGGCTCTGCAAAACAGGGCTGTCCCTTATCATTAGGCTTTCCAGATTTTCTGTCCCTTCACATGGCTTCTTTTTCAACTGGAAACTGCCCGTGCCGTGTATATCATTGTAAAACGTACATGTTTTGATGGTTTTATAGCAGTTGAGATTTTATTTTCCAGTTTAGTCTGGCTCTTTTTGCTGTTAAATATAAAAGATGAGCTGCATCCTCTCAAAACGGTGATTTTATTTACTGTTAACTTTTAAAGGAAAATTAAAACACAGTAACCCCGACGGATCTATACAGACAACACTCCACATAAATCAAGTCACCATTAATATTTACTTTTTTTCAAATAGGTATTTGCACAATCAGGCATTTTAACTTTTAAAAGTCTGAAATAAAAATTAAAAGCTACTAAGCAGTTGTGTCTTTAATCACCAGGAAGGGGCTGTTGTCAGAAACCAGCCTTTTCTCACAGCCAAGGGCCATGCAAACTGCCTCTCCGCAGATGACTGAGCTGCCTTACTAACAGCCAGCACACAGTATGGGTATGAGAGCAAATGTTTGCCTGGCACAGGAAGGGAGGCTTTGGGAAGAGAAAAGCACATTTGGGTCAAAGCTTCCAGAGGAGCAAGTGAGGCAAAACCCAGCAAAGCCCCCTTTTGGGTCAGACCTCCTCCAGATGCTCCTCTGTGAGCCCAGGTTTGCAATACTTGAACAGAACAGGCAACATAGCAACTAGGAAACACATGACTTTATTATAGAGACTACAGGATAGGGAGAGTGGGGGTTTTTGTGCATTGGTGGTTTTTTTTTTTAGTTTGTAATGAAATAATACACAAATTAGGTAAAAACACATCAATTAATGTATTTATATCAAGTTACTCTGCAGCAGAATGTGTAAGTAACTGATGAACTGGCTGAACAAATGTCACATTTTTGTGTGAGCTTTTGAAGAAAAACTATTTTTTTAATCTTTGATCCACTGCACCTGCAAACAAGATTATCAACAATCCACAAGAAGTGCTAATAAAGAACTGGGTTTGGTTTTGGTTTCTGTTGGGTTTGTTCATTGGTGGTTTTTTATTTGTTTCTTTGTTTTTTAATTTCCACATCCCCCTTAGACATGCAATGAGCTTTCCTTATTTTAGACGTTATCACTATTTTAATGTTTCAAAACACTAATACACACTATAACAAAATCTAGGAAAGTTTCAGGTAGCTTCACAAGTACTTGCTGAGAAACAGGATGAGGACCTCACTGAAGTCAGTGCTATCATCTTTGACAGCAACAAAATCAAAGTTAGCTAAATTTTATTGTCTTTGAAATAAACGTGCTAGAACTCATTTAAATCTGAACAGTAATACGAGAGGAAAATTACCCCACTGATTGTTTTCTTCTACTTCACTGCAATACTTAAACATTCACAGACAAAAACTCTCTCAAAACCCTAAGAATTGTGGGCCTACTGCCTGTATCTGATTTCACAGCATTCATGACTATTACCAGGGTTGTTGTGTTTTAATAAACTAATAATACAGAAAGTCTCTGGGTCCAAGAGTGATTTTAGGTCAAAAAAACCAAAACTGAAACAAACAAAAAACCACAAACAAAAATCAAAAGGCCATGTGATACTTGAAACACAACTGCAGGCTGGCTTGAAACTGTTTATTACTACCAGGGTTTTAATAAATATTTCTTAAGCATGTTCATATATATGAGAATTTATGCATAATAATGTTTGAAATTTATTTAGTAAATAAAACCACATATGAAACATTCAGTTTAACACATTATGTGTATTCTGGTATAATTAAAAGACAATAGCTCTGGGTAAATAATTATATTACATATTTATAACTATTGCAAGAATAGACATGTTTTATATAGTCTTGAATTTTAAAAAAAACAAGATATACAATTGAGAGTATTAGAAGAGGACATTCAAATCTTGCAAAAATTATCCAATCTTTCTTCCAAAAAATAAAAATCAGAATAATGCAAGTAGTTTTCTGGCCCCTTCTTTCCTCCCCTGTGCCTTTCCCTCTTTCACACACACAAAGCAGCATCACACCCAATTCATATGTGTTCCCTCTCTAGAAATCCGTCATGGTAAATAAAAGTGGTTACAAAGCTGTATCCCCTCTAAACTAAGAGTTCACTGGACACAACCACATCATAGTGTTTCATTTTATGATTCCTTCTCCAACGTCAAATGTTATGTCAGCTTTGGTGGGGTGACTAATTGCATTTTCATTCCATAAAAAAGTGAACCAAACACTTTTTTTCTAATTGTCTTTTTCTAGTTGATAAGTTACTCAAATTGACTCCAAGTTACTATTCCACTGCACTGTTTCTCCAAGTATCCAGTGGGCATTAGTTAACACTTGTAACTAAAGGTCCAACTTCGCTTTTCTTACAAGTAATGTATCTGTAGGTACATCAACATTCATGAGGATTTAAGCGTAAATACAAAAGTAATCTTTGTAAACAGTTCTGATGTCATACTCAATACAGAATGTTCAATGAAGCATTCAAGTCACTGCTGTTACGACAAAACAAACTTATAACTCAAATATATACTCGTTAGCCAAGCATATTCTACGAAATATAAGAGCAGCCAACGCAAAAGTCAGGAGGACGATCAGCACAGTTGATCTGGTGTGGTTCATGTTGACTCTCTGTTGCTGGCCCCGGTTGAAGTCGGCTGACGACGGCGCCCGTCTCTGGCTCTGCTGCTGGGCACGGCGCTGCCGAGGGCTCAGGGAGGTGTTGGTGGGTGCAGGTGGAGTTTGCTCACGACCGGCAGCTGCTGCTGTGCCACTGCTCTGAGCTTCAGACTGAAACAGAAACATGGAGACTCGTGAGACAGTGCTTGAGATCAGCACGGAATAAAGTCATTAGGACTCAAATTGGTAATATCTGAAAGTCTGATAATGCATGTCACTAATAATTACGAGACTGCGATAGCTATCCATTTTTTGTCCTTACGCTGTCTTGAGAAAATGTCTATTTCAAGCTGCAAGTAAGCGGTTCTAAGGACAAGCAAAGTCTGAAGAAAGTCTGACAAACAATATGTGAATACCAGATTGGTTCCAAATCAAGAGATTTCAAATATCTGTGTCCAGTATTTGTTCAACTCTTTGCAGTTCAAGAAAATTTTAATATTCCTCCAGACAGTTAAGTCTCTAAAAATTTGTCATGTCACCTACACTGAAGGAGAAACAAGCTGGGGAAGGCAAAAAAGGAAGAAGTCCAGAGAACTGTAATTAGGCAATGCTGCACTGCTTCCTGTGGACAGCAGGGTCCAAAAGTCTGTTCTCATCACCACCATCACAAAAAAAAAAAACCAACCACAAAAAAAACCGCAGAAACCCCCCCCCAGACAAACCACCCACAAAAAGACCCCATACAAAAATCCTGAACTCAAGAAACCACCTATGATTCCAGCACAAATTACTGAGCACGCACTACTTATGCACACACATACCTATTGCCCTCTACTGGTCAAACGCTGGGTTATCATTATAAGTAGATTAAAATAACCATTGGCAATTGACCTTCAGCTCAGGAGAGTACTACTCCAAAGAAAATAATTTTTCACTTTGTAAGATTGAAACTATGGGTTCTGATATTCCACCAGCCTAATCCTGCTTGCAAGACTAAAATGCTCAAACATCCAACGTTTTAATATTAAAAACAGTGACAGCAGTTACTGGAAATAAACATTTTGACAAGGTTCAATTTTAAAGCTTTTAAAAAAATACTAGCTCTGATAAGTTACTTTTGAAGTACTTTTTCACTTCTCAGAACAGTTTGCAGGTATTCCCACTTAAAACAACCTGCTGCTGTTTTCCAGAGTTTGCTTTCTCCCTGCTCCCTTCCTTCTAAAATGCTGATTATCATTACAGCAGGTAAAACTAGAATTCTGGACACTTTATATTTGCAAAAAATGTGAAAAGCCTTTTCATGGACACCCATAACCCTAAGCACTGTTTGGGCCAGCTACTGTATCCACAACAGACATCCTTTCCACATGGCCAGACTGGGAATGTCCTCAGCTGTGCATCAGGTTTGATGATCCCCAAGGCAGTGAGCAGCACTTGGACCCATGGCTCTTTGGCCACATATTGTGTATGTAGGAGAAGAAATCCAGATTTTCCCCGAGTCAGCGATCTGACTAGCACAGGACAGAGACCTCCCTTTCCTACCTCATAATTAGTATTTCTCACTGTTTAGTATGGAAGTGCTGATGTAATTACTCACCACATTTGACAACTTGCCTGTTTACACAGGTTTCTTGCCTAAGCAAGCAAGCAGCTTGGGGAGCTTCAAAGAAAAATGGTTTTTAAAGATTTATTTTTTCAGCAGAGAAAGCCAAGAATACCACGAGCGGCTTGCCACGATTTACACCACACTGCAGAATAAAGCAATTCTGCTTCATACTGAACCCACTTGAAAGCTTGTCATGCCAAGGAAAATAAAGACTTCAGGAAACTGAGCCTTTGAGGAATGAGATTCATCTACACTCCCATCTTTCAGAAGGGGAGAGGGGACAAAGGGAATTCAGGAAGCAGGAACTGTGAAATCAGCAGGCAAACTCTTACTCTTCTTAAAGTAGCTTTTAAAAAAAAGGAAATTAAAAAAAAAAAGGAAGCCAGGCTGTCACACACCTGAGTTTCTTCCCAACACTGCACATTTTTAATTTTAAAACAAAACAGAAAGGCCCTGTTTTGAATGAGACAAGGTGCCATACACTGACATGAATGAATCTGTGAGCCAAGAGAAACCTTGCCGACAATCACAAGGCTTTAAATAGTTTTGGAGGCAATTATATAGGTGCATCAGGCAGCAGAAGACCGACTGCTTCACCCCAAGCTGAGCTAACCCACTGCCTCGGGATTCCCAACATAACCAATGATCAAACATCAGCAGACACGCACAGGCAAGCTAGATAAGAAAGGAGTGATCATTATCCGATATAAATTTGGGACTAGATGCTACTGTATCTTAAATAATATACACATCTAGCTAAAGACTTTTTTGTTTGAAGACTTAATTGTTAAGAATCTCAGAAATGGCAGATGGGCTCTACCATAAATTTTAAAAAAAATTAAAAAACCACAATTTTCTTGTCTTCACTTATGGCAAGTTTTAAATTCTCCTTAAGCAAAAATTCCAAGATTTTTAGACTAACACAATACCATACCATCCAATTTGAAGTGATTTTCTGTCAAACTGTACTGGAAATGTTGGGGATGTGGGCTTAATAGACTGAAAAGAAAATCTTTAATAAGAGCTACATTGTAGCCACCTTTAAGATCTGATCTTTACAGTCACAGAACATGGACTTTATGTGTCATATTATTTCTGAAGCTTCTGATACTGTTAGGACTGGTAGAAAACTTCGCTCCAAGGACATCTGTGTTTGATGAATAAGGCTAAAAACGTACGCATATTAGAAGTAACAAAAAGTTCTATTGTATAACAAAATGCAAGTGAGAAATTTTACACTACATTCAGTCTACTGAAGAACAGTAGCATTCACTCCATCTTTTACATCTCCAGGCCATTATTTTAAAAATATTTATCAGAGTGCTGAAAGTATTAAATAATCACCTTAGAAAGGATGCTATAAAAACATGGCAAACTCCAGGAACTCAGAGCCGTAGAAATCCTCTGGGTTACTGAAGACTCTTTCAGTTACAGTCATGATCCGAGAGAGATAGAGAAATAGGAAGATACAAGGATAGGTAAAATATTTGTTTGTCAATGTAACTCCCAGCTGAAGTTCGACACAGCATGGCTTAATGGCTAATAAGAAAACTGTCTATTGTTATATACTGTCAGAAGTAGTTTAGTCAGCAGTGTTTTCTGCACTGGTTTCAGACTCCTCACATGTACTACTCTGCATCATGCTTTAACAATGCTTAAAGGGTGTTCTTTGCAGCTCTGTAAGCTTTTACCCAAGCTGCTGTGGCAGCATTTTATAGAGCCTCCACAGCAGCACTGTTCCCTTTATGGCTCTCGTGCTGTTGAACTCATTGCCTTGCAGGTGCACCTCGATAACGCTGCTATGACAAGTCCTCCTGGGAAGCAACTATCAGTGACATGAGAATCATCCCCCTCCCTGTTCTTCACCCAAAGATAAGTCATTTATATACTTGATAAATATTCTCTAATAATATAGGTACACGAAATGTTAACAGCCAGTGTGCAACATCTGCACTAGTACAGGACACTTCAGTCATTGCTAACACGGCCATGAAGGGAAACCACCACTAAGCAGGTCTTGATGAAAAGTAGAGTACCAGATGAAAAGCATGATGAAAAGCCATCTTCAGCATCACCACATGCTGTGCTGGAGAGACATCATCTATCCCTCTGCTTTTTAAACAGCAGGAACTCAGGAAATACATATTAAATACTGCACTGGGAAGGTATTTAGTTCTGAGCTAGAGAGCAGACCAAAGTGGACACTGCAGTACGTTTAAGTGTGGCATCAAGATACTGGCTGTTGGTATGGCCAAGGGACGAGAGAAGGTGGGTATGCAGGGAAGTAACCTACAAGGTGAGGTCAAGCAGGGAAAGCCCAAAAGGTAAGAACACAGAGTGCACCTCCCCAACAGTCTTTACTGAAAGACTAAGTTTGGTGCTGCTTTAGTCAGTGAGGCCATATTCCTTCTTCCAAATGAAAGCTGACAGAAGGGAAAGTTAATTAAAAAATAACTTTTCTTTGAATGGAATGAGAAGTTCTCTCTCCAGGAATAAGATCCCATGTGGAACAGGGGGAACGGACTCAAAGCCATGCCATGCCAGAGACCCATTTCAGAGTGCTCTTCACACAAGAATTCAGTTAAACCTATCCCAGGAAGGGCATCACTGTACTCAATGGTCCTGCCATTAATTCACTGCAAAAAACTCTGTCCTTTAAAGCAGCTTAAAGATAAAAATTATGGAATAGACAACTGTTGCTGAAAAAAACAAACTCACCCATGAAGCAGTCCGATTGCTTTTCCCACAGTAAGACACAGTCTACTCCCTCCTCTTCACCTACAGACAGACCCTTTCCTTAGTGCCTATTTACCATCATGTTTTTAATGAAGAGTGGTTACAACTGCCTCATGACCAGAAGAAAGGTAACACTCCATTCTTCCTGCATGACTACTGCTATTCTTTTCTCTGTATTGTCATAGGACATAAGATCCCAAGACTTCAGAGATAAGCACACTAAATCTACTGTATCAGCAG